TTTTCGTAGTAAATTTAAATGTTTATCGTCAGGGATAGTGATCAAAAGAAGAGAAACTCTCTTAGGAAAGATAATTTATATGTTCGAACGAAGCTTTTAGATGAAGCTTTTTTATTTTGTTTTAAAGAAAAAGAAGGTTAAATTTACAAGAATAAATTAAACGTTATTATAAGCCTATGAGGTCTTTAAACTTGCATCGCCCACTCGTCTATGTGGCATGATGGAATAATCAACAGTGTTATAGGGGGGTCGACTGTAAACGATTTTTTTATTTCTAAAAGGAAATGGAAAATGTTAACGTTTTCTTTGCCTTATGTTAAATATATTAACGTTATTATCTGTGGTTTTCGTTTATCCGGGCGCATCCCTCGCCATCATTTCTACGGTTAATGGAGTTTCTGCTATCGTTATCAGATTTGAAATATATTTTTTCTTAAGGAAAGTAATAAATATTAAAAATTTAACTTTATGAACAAAAAGTATAGTAGCTTGTTTTTTTTTAAATAAATGTGAAGATCAATTTTAATGGATTTTTTTTATAATACAATTTGATTATCTGGCCGCGTATCCAATTTACTACTCACTGGTGTTCGCATTTTATATTCGTAGGAAATACTGGAAGCCAGAAACGTTCGTTCGCGATTTATTTCCATTCGTAATCATTAATTTTACCACACCATTTTCGTGTGGTAGTGTAGAGGTACTAGCAAAGATTTAATAATCTTTTCTACTCAATTTTTTTTTCTAGATTATGATTAAAATTTCTTACTATAAACACGCGAAAATTGGCATTTTACAGATGGCTACATAATGCATAATATTGTTAAACGGATGAGGTGACGATGCAATTCGAGCGTGCATCGTCAAATCCCCTTTCATTTATTTATATTATACATTTTTTAAAAGGTGACGATAACAGTTTGCAAATGAATTGCGTTATCGCATTAATAATTGCATAATTTTTACGTATAAAAAAGTGATTTTTAAACATCTTTCGACATAGGAAAAAATAAAAAAATAACACCAACAATAACTCAATAACAGATTTATTTTTATTTAATCTTAATTGAATATAATGTAGACAATGCTTATCTAACTCTACTTGAAATGCCAACTTATTTGTTCCCTCATTGAATAATTAATTATAAAGCTGTTTAACTATAATCTTTAACATCATTTAAAATTATTATTCTTAATTTTGGGCCATTAATTTATGTAGAATTTAAGTTAATTCTCGTTAAAATTAAGTTTAATTTGATTTAGAAACTTCATACTCTTTCTTATCTTCCACTTTTGAAGTATTTAGGTGGAAGAGAATCATAAAACTTTATCTGATTTATCTTTAGCTTAATTCTATTTGATTTATAATATGCCATAATTGCTTCGATTTTAATTTTTAACGTTTTAAATTAATGACAAAGTATTTTATATTTAATATAAGTTTGTTAACTCGGTAATTCTTTCGTAGAACACCTCTACTAACTGGAAGATCGGATGCTACTTTATGGAAGTAAAAGAACTCTTATAAGTAATTTTTATGGCTATTTATAAATTAAATAACACGAAAATTAATATATCCAGTTCATTTTACTTTTCTTTTTTAAGATTGTTTTACAGGTAGAAATACATTTTCACAGACGAAGATTAAATACGCGTCACGAAGCGTGTCTGTGACGCTTGGTCGGGCATGAAACAGAAAAGATAAGTAACGTTTTGCGGTTATGTTCGTTTAGACGGTTCAATACGTATTTTTATCTATTTTTTCTTTTTTTTTCTGGATGAATTAGTCTTTCTCTTTCGTTTAAAATATATAAGTATACTTTTAATTATAAAAGAAAAACTTTCATTAAATATCACTCTGTATACTGGAACAATGCGTGTGTGCGCGGGGTTTTTTTTTTTATCTCGATTGAAAACACGTTTTCGCGATTAAACGGTGGAATTGGGTTATGAAAATGGGTGAACAATTATCGGAATATCAAGAATATACGAAAATCTATTCGACTTTTTTTTTTTTAACGGATTGTCATAGTTGAAATGAATCCCTTATCTATATTATTGAATTGTGTTGTTGTGCATCTTTTGCGGTTGTTTTGCGGTATTGTTTGCGTCACGTGCATTTCTAGATCCCATTTGTCATATCTCTAAATAGGCAATGATCTTTCTAAACATAAAACTTTATAATCTTTTTATTTTTTTTTCTATTAAAATTGTGTATTGTTTGTAGTTTTTTTTTCTTTTTCCTTCTAGATTTGTTTGTGTATTATTATGTCACGCTATACGTATTCGTTATTGTCTTTGTTCGCTTGAATAAGATTGTGTTAAATTAGCTTTTTTTTTTCTATTATAGTATACGTGCCATTTTCATTTGTTTCGTTTTCTTTTACGATCTTTTAGAGCTAAATATGTCCATAATAGCAACATTAAAGGTTTTTTTTGTAAACATTATTTACAGCTATAAAACAAGAGCTTAACTAAGTGGATTGGGCTTAATCAGAACTTAAATATATACTGTATATTCAATTAAATCTGGGTATAACGCCACCCTTATAAAGCGCTAATAAATACTGTATTTGTAAACCAATCTTCTGCATGAATATTAGAGAACTTTCAGCATTAAGTATACGATTTTACATTGAAAATACTAAACACTGTATAAGCGTCATTACTATATATGACATATATAATTCTTAATGTTTCAGATATTTCACAATTTAGCACCCCACACGATTTAATTCCAGTTTCAGAGGTAACAAATGGTGTTAAATCGGTTTGACTGTTACACTTATCGAGTATTATTCACACGCATTGCTCAACTTTTCTATACAAACAACTCTAAAGTATTAAATTCCGTTCTTAAGATGTATATATTTCGGAATTATTTAAGTAGTTTATCCCAAAATTTATTACGAAAAACACTATAAGATTTCCATATCAAATCACCGAAATGTATTTCTTCAGTCTAATGTCAGGTTTACTTATATAAGTCGTACCTGTACCACACTTTGGCCGGTAATACAGGTAATACAACTTATTTACTGGTCGTTGTACTTTAGATAGCCAACTAGTTTGTACTAGAAAAAAAATTAGCAATATATATTTATGTATATATATAAACATATATAAAAATATCCGAACGTTATGATATGTATCCTTATTAGAAGATGGTATTCTACCCAATTAGAGTATAATACTGTTCAGCCATCCGTACAAACCATTTTCTTGACATTAACATATTGTATAGCCTACCAAATATATATATATATATTTTTAATAGTTAAAAATATAATTTCTGTAAAAGAATTAGACCGAAACGTGACTATTAAAATTAGATTTACGTATTTAACACGGAAGTTAATTTTTTTAATGGGATAAAAGTTCATTTTATCTACAAAATTCGATTCGAGATCTAAGTGGGAGGCCCTAGGAGGTCGATAAACACCCCCGAATATAAAGACAACCTTGAAGAGAGGTTCAATACCGAGAAGTCATTAACTTATCACTCATCTAAGCTCTCATAATCCAGAAAAAAAAGTACAGCTGCGGGTGAAAAGTGAAAGTATGGTTAACTCCACAGCAAAAATAATTAGATAAGGGGCTGATATATTATTTAAAAACACTAAAGGAATGATAAATTGATTTAGATGTGTTCGATTCTAAGAAATTCTCTTTAAGGAAAAGATTTTTCTGTGAAATTTAAGATCAGTTCGACGACGTTAATCGAAAGAGATAGGGGAAAAAATAAAAAGATGTCATAAAAATTTTATTTTTTGAAAATTTACACTAACTCCTATCCGTATTTTTTTTCTATTTAAAAAAAAGAAGGAAGGAAAAACGATTTGCTCGATTGATTTGTGAACATTTCAGATTTTGTTTTTCAAATTTCCATTTAAAAAGCTAAAGATATTTTTTTCATTTTTTACATTCTAAAAAAGAGTAATTTTCGTAGTAAATTTAAATGTTTATCGTCAGGGATAGTGATCAAAAGAAGAGAAACTCTCTTAGGAAAGATAATTTATATGTTCGAACGAAGCTTTTAGATGAAGCTTTTTTATTTTGTTTTAAAGAAAAAGGTTAAATTTACAAGAATAAATTAAACGTTATTATAAGCCTATGAGGTCTTTAAACTTGCATCGCCCACTCGTCTATGTGGCATGATGTCATTCTATATTTTTTGAACAAGTAAAATGTGAAAACTTTTACTTAATTTTCCTCTTTATATTAATAGTAATCATGGATTTTTACTAATTATTATTTTCTATAAAAGATCTAAGTTATATTTATAAATATTTAATACATTTTCTCAATGACTTTCTTTGTTGTATGGTATTAAATACATAAATAAAAAAAATTCTGATTTAAAAGTAGATATTTAGTATAAAGCAGGATTTCGTGTTAGAAACGATTAATTATCTTTTGTTATTAAAATTTAATGTGTATCAAAAGTGAAGGTAGAAGTTGGGCACGTTATGCCTCCCACCTTAACGTCAAACTAGCTATTGTCCTTTAATTCAAACAGGTAATACTGGTTTTCCCTCTCCAAAGCAAACCTTTCCGATGAAAACCAGACTTGGTTCTATCCAAGATGACATTTTAATAAGAAAAAAAAAACTTGATTTACCCCCAAAACCGGTCTCTCGATGATAAAAAGAAGTTTTCAGAATGGAACAAAGACTCGATTTAAATCGAAAAGTTTGGAAAAACTTCCGTATAAAGTTCCTTAAACTTTTTTCGATATTATGAAAATGTATAGGAAGTGTAGGCTATATATCTGTCATCTACTAATATATTTCTGACCTCATAAACATTACGAATCTTCTTAAAATTTACAATGTGAAATGAAAGAATTTTTACCTTTTCTCTTTCTTGTTCCACCAATTTTATTCCAAGAATTTCCCATTCCAAGGAATAATTTTGTACAACATTTTTTAAAAACTGATTTCCTATACAACATATATTTTATATCTATTCTACTTTATAGAATTCTTCTTCTTAAATTGTAAATTGTGTTATTCGATATTTATTGAAATCATCAATTTAATGAGAGGAAAGCTCAAAATTCATTTATATACAGTTTAAGATGTAAAACTGTTTCTATTAATCTAGATAAAGTTCTTTCTTTTTTTTTTAAATATCTCACCTAATATAAAATATACATATATAAAATTAGGTTACTGCTCTTCAGCATGATGTCAAGCGTGACTAGATGATTCCCCTTACCCAAGATGAGAACATGTAGAAACTACATCTATACATAAAGCTGTGACACGGACGATTAAAAAGCATTTACCTCACCTTAATGAAATTACACATATGGCCATTCAAACTAGGAATAAAAATTAGAAAAAGATGTTTTGTGTTTTATCTCGTATATCTTTTTTTCTTTTAACAGACGGTTCTAATTTGGCTAGAGATCAGTCTGTAGTCGCTCCCGTTTATCCGGGAGCCGACCCTTTTAGAGACGTGTATCCAATAGGAGAATTTAATTCTGTAACATCATCGTTTCCCTCTACCTAATACATTAAACATTCTCCAAAATGAAAATCGACTTTCGTTGGTGGGTACGGGGTCTTTTCTGTTTTGTAGTTTTTGAGATTCTTCTATTCTGTTCTGACGTGATTTCGCCCTCTGTTGTTCGTAGTCGTCGTTCAAAGTTGCTTCGTCTTCGCAGCTACTGTGATGCACGGGGCTGGAATGTCCCGAATCCGTTTCGGGATCCCTGCATTCTTTCAACATGTCTAACACATTCTGTTCCGATTTAGCTAACTTAGCACGTGTAAGAGTGAAACATTGATCCACTTCTCTCTGTTTAGCTTGATGATTAGAAGTCTGCATCTGGGGAGTGTCAGTCTGAAGTGCTTTGGGATCTTCCACGAATGCTTTAGCTAGATTTCGGCTGATTTGTTTCCTGATTGTCTTTTTCATGGACAAATGTCTTTCCAAGTGTCTTATATCCCTGTCTGTTAGTGTTTTAGTCGAATAATCTTTTTTATTCCTCTCCGATTTATATTCTTCGTTATTGGTCGATCTATTGTTGCGTTTTTCGTGTCTTTTCTCGTGTCCCGTTCGTCCATTAGTTATATTATTGTGGCCATCGTCCATGGAATCCGAAGTGTCATCTTCCATATATTCGGATATCTTCCTGCCTGTTCTTCTGCGACTGCGAGGTGAATGATCGTAGATGCACAAGTCCTGCTTGGCATCGTCCATTTTGTATCCTCCGAAAATGTCTCTAACGTCTGGGATGTTTCTTTCCATCTTATCTGCAAATAAATGTAAAAAACAAAAAATGTTTAAAAAAATCTTTCAAGACTCGACTTCTTATTGTTTCTTTTCAGTATAATAATCTGAAGCGTGGCTTCCTGTTTATTATATAAAGTGTAATCGGGTCACAATGTCTCTTGCACATTAAAGATACAACACGCTTCGCTAAACAATGAGAAGCGACAGATCGTAACGGTAGTTCATCTTGAACGTGTTTAGTAGTTCAGAAGGATTTCATGAATATAAGTTCCAAGCGTGGGATTCGATAGTTACTAGTAAGATTGCAATTACCTTAATGACACGAATTCCGAGACGATCTAACGATGTAAAATATCCTTGGCTTATATGGCCTAACACTTTCATTTCGGATTTTCTTTTGACGTAATTCGCCTCTACTTTTTTTTTAAAAAATTAATTTATTTAGGGAAATTTTTCTGACATTAAAAAGCTGTAGGAAAGAGTACGGACACGAGCGAAGAGTGATGGCATACGTCCAAAATAATTCAAAGAAACGGTTGAATAATTTTAAAAAAAGCTGAGCAACAACAACAATAGACTAAATAATAAGAGATAGGACAAGAATCATAACAAATAACGACTATAAGAATAAAGTTCAGATCAGTAGATCATTTATTCTAACCTAAATCTAGACTCGGGGCCGATAAGAATAGGTTTATAATGGAAAGGAAAGTTCGAAATGTATGAAAATAACGGCGTAAACGTCACCATACGACGTGACGAATTTCCTAAATAATGTGTCATTCGAATATAAAAGTATTGTCGCACAATAGTTACCAGACCGACAATAAAAGCACTTTCGATTGCTACTTCAATAGTTTTCCAACCATAAAATACATATAAGTTTATATAAAAGATGAGCGATGAAGCAAAGGAAGGGAGTGACAAATTGTACAAGATGAAGAATAACCACACAATTTAACATCCTTCGATATACCAAATTGTAAAAAAAAAGAAAAAAACTTTAAAGTTTGTCAGCAATAATTATAGAATATATTCCCCGTATCTGATATAACCGGATCTTCTACCTGTACAGGTGAGGCCAACACAAATTAACGACAGCAATAACTTTTCCCCGAATGGCTTAAAACCTTGAAGATGAAAAAAAGAAATTAATAAAATAAAATAAAAATTACATACGTTAGAATTAATTTATATAAAAGAAAAAGAAGTTTCGAACGTCGTTATTTTTGGCACCGTTTTATATCGGTTATTTCTCTTTATAACGTGGCAAATTCTTATTAGAAGTGATAGAAAAGTAGTAAAAGCTATCCTTTCCCAAAAAGGATATTACTCAACTTGTACGAGTTATTTCCTGGACGGGTGATTAGGAGCAGCTGTTGGCGATGTTGGAGAAGGATGACCAACTTCCACCTCATTGTGGTCATCATTAACGGAGGGTCGAATTTCGTAAATGGAATAATGTCCCCGGTGGGATGTGATTTCCTTTAAATCGACTTCTTCCGAAGAATTTCGGGGGAGTCGAGATGAATTAAATGAAACAAATCCCGTTTTATTCAATATTGCATCATGATAACAGTTATATTCCACGCCAGTATTTACTAGAAGATTTTTATAACTTTCTTTCTTTCGGGAAAATGGCTCCGTACCAAAAATTTATCGAAAAATTTTCAATAAAGTAGTATTCGGGAAGCGTGAAGTATTCGTTTACAGCCAGTGAAGATAATGTTCACTTTACCAATCAGAAGAAGTTGAAGGAAATGTTGGAAAATTGAAAAAAAAAAACAAATCATCCGCATCGTTTCTTTCAAATTTATTGATAAAATATAACTAAAAATATATATATATATCGTTATCTTTTAAAATATTGAACTAAAACCTCATTAATGGTGGGCGCAAACTTATAAATTTTACATTTAGTTTTAACTGGGAACTAACTTTTAATTAGAGCAGCGATTATCGTGTTTGGTGGTAAAGCGTGATCGATTCAGATTCATGCATTTTCATCACGATTATCGCATTTCTGCATAGATGTTAACGCTTAAAAATGGTGGAGGATTGAACCTTGACTGTATTAAAGTCAGTCCGCTTGAATAGACTTTTAGTGTAGTCAAGGCAAACTGCATCAAGAATAAAGTCGGTTGAGTTTCGTGTGAAAATCATTAGAAAGGCGGGCAGTTTTTCTAAAGTAGGACGCAATATCAATCTGACCGAGTTAAAATTCATCCGGAAAGAACTGGGTTGAATTTTCACTCTATTTTATGCTTTATTTACACAAATTGGTAGTAGGAGTATGCAAATCAATGGCATAATCGCGGTTTCAAATTCGCTACTTTCTGCTAAGAAGCTACATTTTTCTGCAAGAACGTCTCGCTGTTACCAATGAAAGCGCCAAAACTTTCTCTTCCAGGGAGATTTACGACCGAATTTAAGTAATTTATAAGTTAAATTATTGCATAAAAAAAGAAAAATTAACTTTTAAGAAGATATTTATATATATTTTCCCACATTGCAAATCGAAAAATCCTAGTTACAGTAGATTTTTTGCTGGATTTTTTTTTGTTCAAAAAATGAAAATTTCAAGCGAAGTGACTCATTCTCGAATTAAGGAAATAGCTACAGATATAAAGGAAAATGTTAGAGGAAGGATTTCTTGACGTTGAAAAGAAATTCGTGATTTGTTTAATGGTGCAATATCTTACATCGTCGAAATTATCGTTGAATAGAAAATTTAATTTTAATTAATTCAAAATTGCATTGGACATCATTAAAATATTCTCCTCGTTAATTAGTATGATAATAACTCTCTGTAGTAAATATGTAAATGAATAACAGTTAAGTAAATTGCTTTTGAAAATTCCTCCAGCTTCGTTTTGACGATAAGAGTTGTCTATTAAAACGTTCGTCGATCGTTAAAACTCTTGAAGAATGATGTAAAGAGAAGAGATACATCAAGTTATATTTTTAAAAATTTTTCTTATTTTCTTTATTCTCTTTGTGTAATTACACGAAAGTATACGTGTAACTTTTGTAATTTAATATTCAAAATTCGGTATGAAACTAATAGAAGTATTTTATAAGTAAACGTATAAATTACCAGTATAACAAAGGCAAACTCCCGTTTAAAATTAAAAATATTTTGGAGGTTATACACTCGTTTTACCTGTTGAAAGATCGTGTCACACGTTCTCATACCGCTGTTAGGGATCCAAATCATGCGGGTGTACAAAAAAAAATCAGACAAGTGATAGCTCCGAATTATGAGAATAGATATATGAACATGTATAGAGTATTGTATATATTGTACATATGTACACACTCATTCAATAAATGGTCTAGTTAAATGGGTTTGTATCACACATGTTCGTATAACTCGAAAATACGCATTCAGTTTGGAAATGGTGTTAAGGATTAGCTCACCTGATAATGTGGAGGGATTAATTTTGCAATATATATAAAAAAATATTATATTTGTGAGAGATATATCAACCTTTTTGAATGGTTTATTTATCTTTAGAAAGCTCAAATATGTTTTGAATAGTTTATAGTTTTCAGTGGCACTCTCAGACAATAAAAAAAGGGCATCATGTATTATTCAAGAGGCTTCAAATTATGATTCAACGTTGAATCAGTTATCCCACATTAATTAATTTTTAACAAATTTCTATAACATAGAATTAAAAAAAAGTACATATATATATATATATANTTGCCCTTTTTTTTTTTTTTATTGCAAAGGAGCGGGATTTCTACCAGATGTGCAATATCTACTTTTATATATACAGTATATATATAATGTGTTATATACTAGTGAAGTAATACAACTTCCCATTATTCTAAGTATTTTTTAGCTGTGATATTTCTGATGAGAATCGAGTTTTTCTGACATTTTGGGGTCAACGAATGATTTATAAGAAAAATCTAGAAATATATATATATATATATATATATATTGATGTTTTGCATCGCTATAGGTTCCATTTAATATAAATATTTTTCTAGTTTAGCTGTGATCTGTTATCGATAAATCATTTATTATTTTTTTTTTTTATATCCTGGAATAAATTATTTCTATTGAGAGATAAATGTTTTAAAATAAATTATTTGAGTTTAAATTTCGATATTTTAACTCTCCGGACTATCTTCTTAGAAGAATTACATTTAAAAGTCTATTTAGAAATTCAGTTTGTAGGTCAGTTTATGTCAATTTGCTGTAAATTCTAGCTTACACCTTAATTCTAAGTGTAAAATTTAGTTGTTTTTTTTTACAAAAAATTGAAATTTATGGGGGAAAATGTGTAAAATATTTTTTGAAAATGTATTGAAATGTAATAAATTTATTATTTCTGACCCAGTTCCGAAGAGCTGATAACCATCGCTATTGAACTATATTGAGCATATGCACTGAATCAATAACATGGATTTTTTCGTACTTATTCAATTATATTACATAAATTTAATTATAAAACCATTTTAATTTTTTAAATTAACACTTGGAATGATCACCTAAATTGCCTATTTTATCGAATTTCGTGTGTCGCGAGTGTTTTATTGGAAAGTATTAGTCATCGTATAATTCCTTACACGTTGATCTACACGTAGGGACAATTCAACAAATACATGGTAATGGTGCAATTATGCCCTTTAATCCCCTTTCTTTAATCGGAAGCATTGTGTTTCCCCATTACCTTTTTTTTTAAATCAATTCTCTTTGTTAAGAAAATTGAATAGCTAACAGCGTATAGTTCATGGTCTGTTTATCCTTCGAACTAATCATTAAAATGGGTCTGCACTCGCCTTCAATTTCTGAATTGTCTGTAACATAAACTAGATAATGAAAGAGCCAAATGCTACAGACATTCTGCACTTAATCACGAGTTTTGGGGGAAATTCTGTATAATTTAGATATATGATTTAACGTTGTATCATATCCATTCATTTGTATTCTGGCAATCATTGCTCATCTGCATGAATCAATCTAACTTGCTGAGGGTTTATTATCCAACATATTATTCAATCGAAGAGAAACAGTTTGCCTAGACAATGATGATGCAAAGCTATATATTATTGAGGTATACTGAATAACTTACACAGCTAAATACTGAAACGAGGGAGGATAATCTATAGCAATGTTTAGGCGAACATTTCGATTAGTCGCGGGCTAAAAATTGCATTTCAGGAGGCTCAGAAAAGAGGATAAACTATGATTCATAATGTAATCTGTCAAACTCGAATTGTATGCTATAAATATAAGAAATATACAACACAGATGTAATAATTTAGAAAACAAATTGAATAAATTTAATCTTTTTCTTCGAAAATTCCGAATATTCATACACGTGACTAAGTAATACAACATTATTACCAAATGTTGCATTAATAATATGTCGATAATGCTTCGAATTATCGATAAAAATCTCAATTCAGACGATAAAAATGGCGACGAAGGAGAAAAGTAAGCATTACACAGCATAAACAGAAATAGAAAAGATAGCCTTACGACACGCAACATACTTGAGATTAGGAAAATGTAGTAGTTATTTAACAAAGTAGATCAGGAAAACAAAGATAAAACTAAATTCTACACATGTTAATACCTGCTTGTAAATCGGATAAACAAATTATAAATGATAAGAATGCAAAACATGTTTTAATTATATGAATAAAAACGGTAGAAGTATCAAAATACTCCCATTGGAAAGATAGAAAAATTATTATCCATTTAAAACATCAAAACAGATGAATCATAAAGATTATCCAGACTTCTCGTTTGTAAATAATATTTACTTTAAAAGTGTTTATAAATAAAAAACGGAAATGTAAAAAAAAACAAGTAAACATTTTGAAACTTCGTCTCCCTCTCCTATTAAAAACAATAACAACTTTTGAGTGTTATCAACTCTC